CATGTGTGCAAGTGTGTGTATGCACGCAAACTTACACGATGTGACTTGTGTGCAAGTGTGTGTATGCATGCACACTTACACGATGGGACATGTGTGCAAGTGTGTGTATGCACGCAAACTTACACGATGGGACATGTGTGCAAGTGTGTGTATGCACGCACACTTACACAATAAGTAAATGTTCTTTTTTTTTCTTTTTAGTCTGAGGCATGATGGCTCAAACTGTAATCTCAGCGCCCAGGACTGAAGCAGGGGTATTGCTGTGAGTTCAGCTAGCCTGAGCTACATACTGGGTTCTAGTTTAGGCTACAGAGTAAGAGCTTGTCTCAAAAAAGAAGGAGTGTTTTCAGATAAAGGCCAGTGGAAGGCATTCAGCCTAGGGCAGGCACTTACTGTGAAGCACCTGAACCCCAGGCCGTGCCTCCGCAGACCTGAAAGCTCACTTCCCTCCTTGCCACGTACCCTGTCTGCGGCACGTGCTGCCACTGTGTAGATCCGTCTGCCCATCCGCACCTCCCGCCCTGCAGTGGTTCAGGTCCCCAGTCTCCCTCTCTACTCCCAGCATTGCCCACTCTTACCTTCCAGGAGTCACCTTAAATTTGCCACTGGGGCTCAGTGAAAACAGAGTTAACCGTGCAGCCCAGGGTGGCCCCTCGATGCTGGGAGCCAAGCTGAGCACAGTGTGAGATGCTCCCCCTCTGCCTTGGTACCTGGGCTGTACACTTTCCCTCTGCTCTTCCCCATGTTGGCGTGGAGCTCTGCACACTGTGCAGGATTGTGTCTCAGTGTTTTTGCTAAGGTTGTGCATGATGACTTGAATCCCCTTCCTGCTGCCTTGGTTTCGCTCATTCTACTCGGTGTCTAAGATTCAGCCCAGAGGCCCTGATGGAACCTTTTCTGAGCTTCTCAGTTTGCCCCCTTTGTGACCTGCGTATTCCTGTCTTAGCACAAACTGTAGTTAGATGGAAGGCTGTTTTTCCTTCTTTACCTCTCCCTTGTTTCGTTGGTTGTTAGTGCCTCGGGCCGCCCAGTCGCTTAGCATTTGTTTGGTTATGCATGCCTGTTGAACTTTGTAGGCCATAACCATCAGATGAACCAGGAACACGGTTATCTGTCCTTTGATCGTTGTAAAGAGTGGTGCGTCCGCCCTCTGGTCTAGTAAAGAACTTAGAGGAGGAGGACAGGATTGGGCCCCTGCCTGTAGGGAGATCTTAGTTTTCTTCTTCTTCCGTGACAGGTCAGACCTGACTTGCACACTGCTTTAGGACTTCACCGAGGAAAGACTTGTAACTGTCTGTAGTAAAACATACCGAGCAGCACACCAGACTCCATGCACAATCTAACACCGCATTCTGGGGAGTGTAGGTTATGTGCAGTTTCAGGTAACGATGCGAGCACTGTGTGTTAGTGTGCCCTGTGCCATGTTCGATCCATCTGGTTCCTTCGCTGTAGAATTCCTCATCTATCCCTCAAGAAGTTTCTATAGTTCAGTGACAACAGCTTTGGAGTATTTCCCTAATAATTGAGGAAGCCCCCCTTCCTGGGGACATCAGAATACTTTAGGAAATACTTCACACCTGCTTAGGAACACGTGTGCTGATAACAAAATTGAATACATTTCTAAACTTTAAAAAATCATGGTTGGCTTTAGAAAATTTTAAGTGTGATAAAATGACCCCCCCCATTTTGAGACAAGGTCTTACTGTGCCCAGGTTAGCCTCCAACTCCTGAGCTCAAGTGACCTTCCTTACCTCTTTCTTCCAAGTGCTTAATGATATTAAAAATACTTTCTAGCAATACACACTAAACATTTGTTAGTGAAATTATGTGCACTTTGGAATATACTTCAAGATAATCTGGGGTTGGAGTGAGATTGGGAGTAGAGGTGAAACATTGACTATTGGCAATTGCGAAGTTGAAAGATGGATACATTGTATTCATTACACTGGCTTCTGTAGTTCTGTGTTCCTCTGGGGCCTGTCCTTGTTTGTCCTTGTCACGTGACTAACAAACACTTAAGCGCTTTGATATCACAAGGGTCAGACTGTTGCATTCAAGTGAAAGGAGTCACTGTATTTTGTGATTATAAATATTTGACTGAGTTTAGGGAATTTGTCATAATATTAACTTGTCTCCTCATAATATATATAATAGAGTCATAGAATGTCTCTGCGTTAACAGTCCCCTAGATAGTTTTGAGTTTTATCTCAGATGTTAATTAACATAATAACATTCTCACTTACGATCTCAGGACAGTGATGTAGGTCAGCAGGGTTCTGGTTGACTGTTATGGTCTCTGGTGATAATTACATCAAATGTCTTCCAAACGTGTGTACTTGGGCTAAGGAGATGTCTTAGTGGGTAACGTGGATTACAGGCATAAGGGCCTGAGTTCAGGTCTCCAGTACCCGTGGAGTGTAGCTGCTGAGTGTGGGAGCACATTTGTAACCTCAGCCCTGGGAAAGCAGAGACCACTGAGTCCGGAGCTCACCAGCCGGACAGTGTAGCCAGGTTGATGAGCTCTGGGTTTAGACTGTCTGGGACAGACTGGGGCAGACTGTCTCAAAAGTACGGTGGAGAGCGATGAAGATGACACTTGACCTCAGTCCCTGACTTTCCCAGCTGCAACACACAGGCAAGCAAACACTCACATCCATGCACACACAAATGTGTAACTCTTATGATACCATTTTGTCTCCAGCAGATATACCAGCAGACAGAACACACCCATATACATAGAATAAATAAAATAAATTTTGTTATGTATCATGTCATTTGGACTGATGATATCATGTTGTATAAAAAAACGTACAAATCCAGAAGGTCGTGTATTTGTCCTGGTGATACTTACTGTATATGTATGTTTGCTTTATATGGATGTAGGCAAACACACAGGTCTTGTTTGTGAATGCCTTCCACGTGACTACTTCTGTTTGTCTCCGATGTCCTGCGTGACCCAGTCACCCAGGATTGAGATCACTGCTGCCTGACCACCTCCCTGCTCTCCCCCTCTGTGGAACTGTGTGCCGTGCGTGGTGGCATGTAATTCCTTCTTCTTTGTACAGTTTTATTTATGAGTATGGGTGTTCTGTTTGTGGGTTTGTCTGTGTACCACATGCCTAGTGCCCAAGGAGGCCAGAAGAAGGTGTTGGATCCTCTGGGACTGGAGTTACGGATGGTAATGAGCCACCATGTAGACGCTGGTAATCAAACCCAGGTCCTCTAGAAGAGCATCCGGTGCTCTTAACCACCGAGCCATCTCTCCAGCCATACTTGTCATAGCAGTCTTTTGCTGCTCTAAATCTCCTTGCATAGACATCTTGTGAAATTGTGGAAATATACACTGACCTTCTGTTCCTAGAAGGGAAAATGCTTGATATATATTTTTACATAATTAGAATGTTTAGGTTAAATTTTTAATAGGAAGATTTTTATACACACACACACATATACATACACACACTTTTTTCTCTTTTCCAAATGTTTCTCCTTGATAATTCTTAGGCATTCATTGGTTGGGGTATTTAGACAAAGACAGCGAGTTCAGATATCTCATCTAGCAGTTTTCATGTAAAGGGAACTTTTCACTTGGGAAAGACAAGAAAAGTTATATTAATTTCAAACCTGCATATAAAGAAATGTAAATAGCTGCTGTGGTGGTGCATGCCTGTGATCCCAGCACTCTAGAGACTGAGGCAGGAGAATCTCCAGTTCAAGGCCAGCATAGGCTACATAGTGAGCTGACTCAAGAATAGGGAAAAAAAATCTACAAATAACAGCTGACTAAATACCTGCACAAGACTGGGGCATCACCATTCCATCATGGATGGGGGAGGGGCTGG